GAGCAGTATTTGGCCCTTTCTTCCTGTTTTGCCATTCAATAAGATAATGGCTGATCTGGTTTTAATGTCCACTCCACATTTCCACCTACCCCTGCTAATCTGTCATACCTTGAGTTCTTGATCAGCAATCTATCTTGGACTTTAAATCAAAATATTGACTCCATTTTCCTTTGAAGAAACTGTTTACAAAGGCACTCACACCTCCTGAGAAATGCATTCTTATCTATGTCTTAAATGTCTGCCTCTCTTTTTGAACAATTAACCTTTGTAAATATTTTCCACATCCAACCTATCGAGAATCCTTGATTTTGTATACTTCAATCAAGACCTCCCGTGTCCTTAAACTTGAGATGAGCTAGTCTAGCTTGTCCTGTCTTTGAGCAGAGACAATCTGCCTATTCCAGATATTAGTTCAGGAACCTTCTGTATCTTAATGCATTTGCATTTTTAATTAAATAATTGAATCAGTACTGTGCACAATACTCGGGGATTGGTGAGCCCACATCCAGTGTAACTGAAGCAATGCCCCTACTTCCACTTTTGGTAGGTGACTGTGCAGTAACTAGTAATACAGACTACTTTTAAATATTAGTTAGAAATTCTTTTTCTGTACAGTACAATTTTTGGTGACTAATTCTCAGACCATCAATGTGTTTTGTCATGTGGGTACTTTTGGTACTGATGCAAGCTCAGGCCAACTGGCTAATTGTTGTATGGTGAAACACTTTGCTAAGGCCACAGTGCAGAAGGCTGAGCTGCAGCGTGTAGCTGCTTGCTAGAACACTAACATGGGTCAGTGACAACAGGCTTGCCTTAGAACCTCCACTACATATTCATTAAACTCTTATTGCTCCACCGTGCATCTTATGTGCTTGCTTCAGGGTTTTGTTTTCTTTGAGCTGGCAAAAGATTGTGTTCTAGGAAATGATATTTTTGTTGGTCATAGATTATAAATGAAAATCTGACTTATTTTCTGCATACAGTCCTAATTTAGTGGTATTTTATAGCTGGTAACTTTTTCCCAATGTCCTTACACCTTAAAGGGTTTACCGTCACAAGCCTTTTGTGACCTTGTGTTTCACCAGTAGGACTGCTAATTGTGGTATGATTTCGTGATTTACACGAGGTTCAGGACTCTAGAGCAATCGGATGTCAAGTGGCTGCATGTCACTGCATAAGTAGCAGTGTGGTTGGATTTGAAATATCCAAGTCAGAGCCTGGTATACTTGTATCATGTTTTCAGTATTAACATAGTCTCAACCTGAATGTTTTACCTTCTGATCAGTCTAAACATTGAGATATTAGACCACATTTTAAGAGGTGGGATTCTAGTTGAGATTTGTTTAAAACAGTAGATGAAGACTTTTAAGAACCAGATGTCAGTTTAAGATTAATCCAGTGTTTTTCTTCCCCATTCAGCTTTATTTCAAATAACTGGATCTCTGCAATACTTTGTTGTCATTTCAAGGCTATAACTGTCTGACACTTCAGCTTTCTCTAGTGCTGAAAATGTTCCAAACACTTAACATGGAAATGCTCTCGTGGGAACTGGTATGACACAATGGGTCGAATGGCCTCCTGTACACTGGAAATGCTTCAACATTTTGACGTGAAGTCCTATTTTGAATAGGAAGTAATTAGGGCATTGGTGTTTTGTCAGGCTTGTGGGCCTCCTGTTTATGGTGTCTCAACATAATGCTGAGGATCAGAATTTAAAAACGGAAAGACTGACTTCAGGATTTGGGTGTTTAAGATAGACTAGTGGATTTTGGTTTCAGCCCTGAAGGTAATGTTTTAAACAGGGTCAGCTAGTCATTTGGATAAGTGAACAAAATCTTTCAAAGAAGGCATGTGTCTTGGCAGGATATCTGTGGTATTAATTGAAGTGTTTACACTGTGATATTTGACATACAGAAAAACAAATTGATCAGGAGCCATTGGGAAATTTTAGTTTTGAGTTGGGTTCAGAAAAATCTAGCTTCCAGTCCTGAAGAGCAGATGCATCCTAGCAGCAAGGCATTTCATCACTTTGTAGAAACCCACATTTGTGAAAGTTTATGGAAATCTTTTTGCTGTCAACTGAAAAGCAACTGAACATCATTGAAAAGTTGTCTTCAAAGCTTTGACTTGCACTTACCGTGACACATTGCAAGAAATACCAAAGTAAATGGCTGGTAATATCTATATTGCAAAATAGACTAGAAGTTGAAGTTGAAGTCTTACTTTCTGCACTCATCGGATCTAGGCCACAAATGGATTTGAGATGCAATTTTATCACGTGAAATGTGGATTGGTAGGGCCATAATTGGCATGGATATGCAGCAACAACAGTTCACACTCCTTCAAGCTACTCACCATCCAGAGTTGGAAATGGACTGCAGTTTTCTCACTGTAGCAAGAATTCCTTCCCTCAGGGCATTATGGTTCAACGTACGCCATGTGGACTGTAGTAACTCTCGAGGGCAGCTAGGCACAAGCAATAAATGCTGGCCCAGCCAGTGATACCCATGTCCCATGAGTGAATACGAAGAGAAACATTAACTACCTGAAATGAACTAAGGTATTAGTAGGGAGTGCATCAGTAGAGAAACAGTGGCAGATAGTTGGGATATTTAAGAATGTTCTTAGACTTGTTCTTTATAATAAAGAATATACTTGAGGACCTACCACCTATGGTTAAAGTTGACGAGAGAATTAAATTTAGGGAAAACATGCAATTATGGAACAGAGGGCCAGGTCAGATGATGGGTGTGAAAGGGATTAATATAGTCCAGCATGACAGTCAGCTCGCAGTGTGAAAACAGCATTTTCTTTGGGAATTTTTTAAAAGGAAGAGACTAAGTGAAGTGAGTGGTTATTCTCCAGAGTGAGAAATAGGGGGAGAGGATTGCTAGATATTAAAGTAGTGAATATAATGAAATATTTTGCTTCTGCCCTCACTGTAGATGTGCATGATATCTGTAAATATGGAGATTGAACTGAGAGGTACTTGCAGAAATTAGTCACCCAGGGAGGTGGTACTGAACTACCCATTTGCAAGTTGCCAGATCCAAAATTGTAATCCGATTGTTGAGGTCTGATGCATTGGTGTTATAAAATTCATTCCATTTTGGAATGGTTCCATCAGATTGGAAAGTAACAAGTCAGAAGTAAGGAATATTGCAATGAGTAACTCCTCACCTGACTCCTGAAAGCTTGTCTATCTACAAGGCACACATCCAGGCAAGTGAGGAGTATTCATCACTTGCCTGGATGAGTGTAGTTCCAATGATGCTTGAAGCTTGACACCATTGGTCAGAGCAGCCTGCTTGATTGGCACCACATCAACAAACCTCCAGTTCTACTCAATAGCAGCAGCAGCATGAAGACCTGCAGGAATTTGCCAAAAATCCTTAGCACCTTCCAAACCCATGACTGTTATCATTTGGAAGTGGAAGTGGAAGAGAAGCGAAATGAGAACACTACTGCCTGCAAGTTTCCCTCTAAGTCATTCACTACCCTAATTTTGAAATCTATGACTGCCATTGGGACAAAATTCTGCCAGTCCTTTTGGATCAACCTACAGATATGGATTTCAGCTGTTCAAGAAGGCAGCTCACCACCTTCAAGGGTAATAAGGATTGGAAATGTTGGCCTAACCAATGATGCCTACATCCTAGAAATGATTTTAAACAAACGTGCTGGTTGAAGCCTGGCTGTGGAATGCATTTTGTGCACAAAAGGACTTCTGTCCCAGCATGCTAAATAATAGGGCTTAAAAGATCCAAAGATCTAACCGTTTTGGAATTTAAGCTTAAGGAGAAATGCTGACAGCAACTCTCTTTTCAATTTTTTTAACTTGGTAGTGTTAGTTCTGTGAAGGCCTTGGAACAGGACTGTGTAGAACCATGCTCGTTAAAGTGAATTAGATTATCTAGGAGTAGAGAGACTATTTGCAGATCAGAAGTACTAGGATTAAAAACCCTAAAAAGTTACAAAGCTGAGTCCGTAGCTTCCATCATAAACTTGGGCATCATCCTGGAGCTATTCGTAGTTCGTTTTAAGTCAGGAGTGGCTGAAGCAACATGCTGCATGTTAGAAATTAGGTACAACTATTGAGTAGCTTTGGGAAATGTACCAGGAGTGGTATTTGTATGACAAGACAAAAGATGTGTTCTGTCTCCATTTTATAAAATGAGTAACTTGATTAATGGGAACGTACAGTGTCTTTAAAATCTTTGAAATTGTATTACAAGTAGTTTGGATTATTTGATTTTATCCTTGGTTCCTGTTTAGAATTAACATGCCTTTTCTTGTTAAAGCAGCTTTGCACGCTTATTTTTCAGCAAGCAATCACTTTGAAACCAATTCAAGGATGTTAACAGGGCTGTAGAGTTTGGGCTAAAGGATAGGCTGAGGCATTTTTCACTAGGTTGAGGGGTGACCTTGGAGGCTTACAAAATAATGAGCATAGATAAGGTGAATAGCAAAGGTCTTTTCCTTAGAATGGGGAGATCAAAACTAATGGGCATATTTAAGGTGAGAGGAGAGAAATTTGGAAGGGACTGGAGGGGGCAATGTTTTCAGTGGTTAGCATGTGGATTAACTGCTAAAGGAAGTGGTAGATGCAAATACAGTTACATCTAAAAGACATTTGGACAGGTTCATGAATAGGAAAAGTTGAGCGATATGGGACTAGTTTTGGGAAACTCGGTTGGCATGGACAAATTGGGCAGAAGGGTCTGTTTGATATTAAGTGAAATATCAATTAGGGTCCTGACTGGAATCTGACTTTACTGATGGTAACGTCTGGGATAAATGAGACTCTACCTTTCTCTGCTAAGGCTAATGCTTGTTAACATTATTACAGCATGGATCTTGTCCTCCCCAGATTACTAATCTTTCTACCCAGTGTGCTTCCTATTCTAGATATTTCTTCATTTTCCTGATCCTGCATCACAGTCTGGCTGTTGGAACCACTCTTCATCCACTGAATCACTCCTCCTTTTGTCTCATTGCAGGACAAGCTGCCATGGAAGGCTGACAAAGCAAAGACCAGTGGTGAGTCAACCAACATTTGTGAGCTCACCCCATAATGAGAAGATCACTTAAAATAGCAAGACAGCTCTAAGACCCCTTGGAGATGCCGAGACCTCGATGTCTGATCAAACAAGTAAGCTTCACTGTGCTGCTGTCTCAGTGCCACAACTGTCATGTTAAGGTGCCCAAGCTTGCCATGTACCATCCCTTATCACTTCCCCTCCTCCTGCCCACCCCAAGAAAAGTGTTTAAAAGTCTACCTTTTTCTGTGTAGACACCAGCAGCACCCCACAGCCTTAACCTGAAGAGGCCTCCCCACATCTGCTTCCATTCCAAAACCCCATCACCACCACCTAAGGAAGAGCCATTCCTCCCTCAGGAGGGATCCTGCACCCTTCAGCTTTGACTTTCACCTCCTGTGGGTTCTCTTTCTAGACTAGATTTCAGAGCATGTTCAGGTGAACACATTACTGCAAGTCTCTGCAGCTGGTTGGCACTTAAAACTACTGGAAATTGAGCACTTAATCAATGATGAGCACATGACCCCATGGTGTTGACCAATTACAACTTGTGGTTGTACATCTGCTTGAAGCAGCAGGTAGGTTCCTCAGATGGGTATGAGTGCTGATATACCATACTAGCTCCAAAAGGCATGTCTGGTTGTCTCCACAAATAGATTCATTGCTACCCTGGAAAACTAGATCCAGCAGGTTTGCATGCTGACCTGGATTTCATCACTTTTTAAATATTGGTGCTTCACATTGACATAGTAAGTGGGATGTGGAACAAAGACTGGATTCCAAGTATCACTTTGTCACGAGAAGACAGTGGTCCTAACGGGCACCCATAAAGAGAAGGAGCCCCCCCCACACAGGCTCCCTAGAGACCTCCTGTCAGGACTTGTTATATAAAGTAAAGGTGTCAGGCCTTTTAGCTCCACTCAGCCAGTGATTCCCCTCAACTTTCAAAATTGTGGCTGAGCTTGCATCTGGCTAGGGTGCATACTGTCATAGCATGTGTGGGCCCTCTAACTGCAAATGTCCAGGGATGTCTGCAAAACGTTCCAAGCCAACAATCTTCTTTACACCCCAGCTCAAGACTCTAGGATAGTGCGTGGATGTTGTGGGAGGGCAAGGATTTTTAAAAAAAATCTGAACATGCACATATAAACACCTCATCTGAAGATATAAATGTACTTTAGATCATATCAGATGTCATTTTAACTTAGCCATGCAGTCAGGTCCTATCATGTTAAAGTTGAGCAACCTTTCTTGCCTCCCAAGGAGGGTAGCAGTTGTATTGAGGCTTTCTTCATCTGAGAAGCAAACCAGATAAAGCAGATTTTAGGCATTCTTCAACACCTAAGTTCATAACTGCAGCCAATATACACAGCACTTTACCTTTTTGGCTCCTGCAGTTTCCTCATTGAGTGTCTGTAATAGGCCCTCGCCTCTAATTGTGTTCAAAGTATGGCCATTTTTTGTGCATAGTCACTACATGATCATTATGGTGTGCACTTCTCTGCAAAGGCTCATCCTACCCAAGTGTCTTACAGGTATGTGCATGCTAATTCAAGGATGGGTGCTGTCCAATGTTCAAATCCTATATCATGCAATATTTTCCCACCAGAACAATTTGCTAAGGACTGCTGTTTGACTTTAGTGTTGGAATGTAATGTACTTTAGCATTACTAATGGTCTCAAACTGATAATGATACTACAGCTGCCGAGGAGGTGCCTACAGGAACAGCATCAGCATCAGAAAGATTCTACACTCCCTGACACACTCCTCACACTACCCTACATCAGGAACACATCAGAACTCACCACAAGACTTCTACGCCTGCTGGGCATCAGAGTGGCACACAAGCCCACATCAACCCTACGACAAGTGCTCACCCAAACTAAAGACCCACTCCCTGCTGTGGACAGGACCAATGTCATCTACAAGATCCCCTGCAGAGACTGTGAGAAACACTACATCAGACAAACAGGAAGGAAACTAACAACAAGAGTACATGAACACCAACTGGCTACAAAAAGACACGACCAATACTCGCTCATCTCAATCCACATGGACAAGGAGAAACACGACTTTGACTGGGACAACACCAAGATCCTGGGACAGGCTAGGCAGAGACAAGCAGGAGAATTCCTGGAAGCATGGCACTCCACGAAGCATGCTATTAGTAAATACATTGAACTCTACCCCATGTATGTTCCACTACGGAGGAAACCCAGAAGCGAGGCAACCCATCGCAATGGACTCGAGTTTAAAAACCAGGCGAGGAGAAAACACCGACGCTTCATCAGAGGCTGCACTGAAGATGTTACCAAGAATGGTAACGAAACGTCTGCGGAACAACAAACCAGCTCGGCGAGCCAACCAACCTCAACACCCACAACTGGAGCTACAGATCTACTCCAAAACCTTAGATACTAGAGCTGTGTAGAGACTTTTCTTGACACTAATGAATTAATTATTCCTCAACCAAATTTTCCTTGGCACCATCCAATGTTGTAACCTTTGTCGGACTGCTGCTTGTTCCCTATAATCTGTCAAGACATCGTGTTCTAATTCGCGAGTGAATATACTGTTTAAAACCTTCAGATAGTTGTTAGCAGTAACACTTGTTACACAACAAGAAAGTAAGAAACTGCATTTGCTTTTCCCACTAAACAGCTGTTCACCTTTTTTGCAGCAACAATGTTTTTTGTTTTTTTTTTTTTTTAAAAACTTCATGCCTTTACCCAATTGACATTTCTTGGATGTTGGTGTGAATTAGGTCCTCTGGCTTGTGCTAGACCTATGTATTGTTTTAATTGTGCTGTAGTGGTGTTACTAGTCAGTCCATTTCATCTTCCTCTGAAGGCTGTTGTTGCTCTTCCAGCTTCTTGGCATAAATAATATCCCTCCCTTGCTCCAGTTGTGCAGAATGCAGCACTTCATCTGGAGTGTACTGAAGACCCCATCACTGCAATCAAAACTCAGCTTGAGTAGGCCTATTATCTGCTCCATAATGGCCCTAGTGAAAGTGGACTGCATTTTATCTGCATTCTCCCTCAATCGTCCTTTCTCTTAGGAATCATCTACTGTATTTAGGACTGGTAGCCCTAGTCTCCCAACATCCATCTATTTGTGAAATGCTGTCCTTGGAGTGTGATACAAACTTATCAGAATACATAGCCATCTTGGTACCTTCCCAGATACCTGGTACAGACCTCTAAGTTGTTAGTAATGACCAGATGAGTTGCACATGAATCAAATGGGACCTGCTCCTGTTAATGAGTTGGATATCTCATAAAATGGCATTTAGTGCAACGGTTCTATAGTGCCCTGGATTTGGCAGAATCTCTGTCTGTCTCCCTCACAACACATCATTGGACTATAGGAGGAAACCAGAGCACCCAGAGACATGGGGTAACCCTTCAGTCCAACCAGCCCATTACCATTTGTGCAAGATTACTTATGTCCTTCATACATCTACAGGTTGAGGACTGGGAGACTCTACATGGGTCCCCAGTGGACCCTTGGAATGATCCAGTTGTTTAAGAGCTGCTATCTGTCCCCACAAGAATGGGATACCTACCCACTAAGTGCAAGTCCTCCTGCACCAGATAACCAGTCCTCAGTCTTCACCTGGAGAAAATTAGTGGGAACATTGAGGTTCTGACTCTCTCATTTATTCTCCTCCACTCCTTGGAGCTTCTGTGGCTCCTATCTCTGGAGGCTGCAGTTGTTTTTGGGCTTTGTTTCTCCTACCCCTCTCTCTGCCTTTGTAGAACTTTGACAAAAGCAAAGCATGGTAACTCAGTGGTTAGCACTGCTGCCTCAGTGCCAGTGACCTGGGTTTGATTCCACCTTTCAGGTGACTGTGCAGAGTTTGCACATTCTCCCCATGTCTATGGGCTTCCTCTGGGTGCTCTGATTTCTTCCAACAGTCCAAAGATGTGTAGGCAAAGTGGATTAGCCACGGGCAATGCAAGGTTACAGGAATAGGGGTGCATCTGGATGGGATGCTCTTGGGAGAGTTGGTGTGAACTTAATGGGCCAAATAGCTTCCACGCTGCAGGGGTTCAATGATCTATTCTAATCACTCTCTCACTGTTTCATGCAGGCTGGATACATATCCTGCATGTGGAGAGACAGCAACAGTATAGCTTGAGTTCTGAAGTGTCACTGGGCTCATCACTAACTCTGCTTTCTTTCCACAGATGATGCCAGACCTGAATTTCTCCAGAAATTTCTATTGTTTTAGCTTCTGATTTTCCAGGCAGTTATATCAAACAAACGAGGCTTTATCATAGATTGTGACACACTTTAACTTCAGATGTCCTACTTATGTAGATGTACATTGCACAAGCCATGTTGCAATGTAACATTGGTGTTTTATAACTAGTGTAGCTTGTCCTTCCTCCATTTCTCCACCCTGCCCAATTCATCCAAGAACAACATTGAATACAAGAGCTCATGCTCTTTCTTGCATAGTGTTCATTGAGGACTTTTTATCCATTCCTGTAATGAGGGCATTGCTGGCTAGGCTGGCACTTGCCCATCCCAGATGGCAGTTGAGTTAACCACACTGCTGTGGGTCTAGATTCACGTGTAGGCCAGACCAAGTAAGGATGGCAGTTTCCTTCCCTAAAGAACACTTTTGTGAACCAGATGGGTTTTTCCTGATGATAGTGGATTTATGGTTGCCTTTTTAGACTGTTTAATTTCAGACTTTTACTTAAGTCATTCTGCTATTGTGGGGTTCAAACTCACATTCCCAGAATGTTATCTCTGGATTAACAATCCATCAATAATACTATGAGGCTATTTGCCTTCGAGCTTTTGCGGGGTTGTGCTCCTTTAGCATGATCTCGAAAGGTTGGGTGAGTAGGCAAATCAATGACAGATACAGTATAATTGGATAAATGAGGTTATTCACTACTGAAGCAAAAACAAGGCAGATTGCTACCTGAATAGCTGTAAATGGGGAGAGAGGGAGTGTCCAGAAGGACCTGGGTGTCCTTCTGCACCAGTCGCTGAAAGTAAGCATGCAGGTGAGAGGTTGAGTACAGGAGCAGGGATGTGTTGTTGCAGTTGTATGGGGCCTTGGTGAGACAATACCTAGAATATATTGTGTAA